GTAAGGAGGATAGAACTTTCAAAGGAGAGGAGGAACAGTAACTTTCAGTCAATTTATTTCGTTAATAAATTAGGGGAAATTTTTTCATTCATACATTGCCATGTAGCCTGGAGAATTTGTGGATTGCAAGGAGGAAGTGAAGAAATTCAGAAAAGGGCTGACCAAGGACAGCAACTTTCACTCGATCTGGCTTCTAAGTATTATCGGGAAGACCTTTGGAATTCGCATAAGCTCTGTGGCCTGATTAATTTGTGCACGTTTCATTTTGAAAGTAGTGCAAGCCTTGATTCATAACACAGGCGGCCCAAGCGTACTATGTGTGATTTCGGGGCTTAAACGTCATTAAAAGCAACATCTTAGAAATCGAGATTTAATTTTAAGCGTTCGCGTATGCCGAAAATAAAGGAAAATAATAGAACGTGTTAAGTTTCCATATCTTTATTCCAAAGCTATTTTGTCGACTTTCTTTGAATCACGTATTGTGCAGTATAAAAATAGTGCAAAGCACGCGATTACCTCATCAATTGTTAGTTAATTGTAACGGCAAATGGATAATCTCTCCATTTTCGAACATCTGATCGCGACTAGAAAAAGCAACTTCTAAAATAATTCGCGCGACATGAATGCACTTCCGCTGATTGAAACAAAAGTTTTTACCCATCATACCTTTGTTGTCACGTTTTTCCAGACTTTAAATGCATCATACGCCTGTTTCACAGCCTCTTCCGCATCTTCTCTCCCCATATCAGACACTCTCCCAATCTCTTGACCCGTCGCAGGATTGTAAACTGGAAACTTGGTCTCGCAATCTTTCCATTTTCCTCCAATATAACCAGAACTTCGGTAAAGAGCCATGCCTCGTATGCATCCCAATAATCCACACGGCAACCTTGCCCTCATGTTTGCATAGATGATAAAAATTACGTCATGAATATTTATAACTACACCTTCAAAAAGTGTAAATTTATCTCGGAGAATGAAGAGCCGCCATTTTAGATCCTCGTTAACAGAGAGAGGAATGGGGAGAATATGAATTGTTTCATTTGTTCCCAATCTCTTGATTTCTACTCTCTTACTCCTGACCGTGAAGGAAGAAAGCACCAGTGTCAATAGATCGAACGTCGGTGACCTCACTCAGACGACAAAACCTCAAAAGAATTTAGGCATGAAAATAAAATTGACACTTGTGTCGCCAAGACCACTAACAGGGTAATTATCGATAACAGAACTATAGCAAAGCAGCACCACAGCAACAACAAAACCACCATAACAAGAACTCAACAGATTAACTCGCCAGGTAAATGTCGCTAAAAAATATTTGTCACTAGCATGTGAGAAAGAAAAATTCTAACATTCCCACAGGCGTTTGAAATTCAGATCGTATGCTCTGCTAACCTGGTGATTTAGTATTATCAACTGAGTTGATAACGCAATCATTCGCTCTGACGAAGGGCCAACACTCGAGACGTCAGCTTTTAAACTCTAGACGGTGGCCAATTTACATTATCAACTCAGTTAATAATACTATATTTCCATATTTATTCTACCACCGACGCAGCACCACAGTTTAAACTTACTTCCTTTATTAACTTATCATGGTTGACCTTGGTTTTACACTTAATATGTTAATTCCCATCGACGCAGCACCACAGTTTCTCTAGAAACTTAATATTTCCTTTGTTCATTTATCATGGTTTACCATGGTTTTACGCTTCAAACGTTGATTCTGCTCCCTGCTAGGATCAGTAATGTCCATTGTGGTTTTATTTCGCATGGAAACTCGTTTACAACTTGTTTACTATCTCTTAGGTAAGTGGGACAAGCGCTTGTATTCGTTCGTATCGGCGGTCAAAATATGTGAACTACACGAAGTCTTTACTGAGTTATCTGGTCATTTTAAAGTGAAAAACGGTAAAATTTCCGCACAGTTCCATACAACATTATGCATTCAGTTCTTAGATAGAGAAAATAATGACAAAGACAGTACATTGCCACTGAGAAAACAGATTTGTTTACGGAAATTTTACCTGAAAAACATACGTATCAAGGAGTTTGGAAGGAAAGAAACTAATGTGGTGTTAATCTGAAAGCAATTAAAATTGGTCAACATCATAAGATTTGTATGGACTGCGAATAAGGAAACTGTTGTGTTGGGCTGAATTTTAATTCCAGTTAATACCTCATGATGAATCATCCGTGACGCATATAGAGACTTCGTCAGGATAAACTTCAGCTTTTCCCCGGCTTTTATCACTGTTCTGAAGAACGTTTCTGTCATTGGTTTAATTTTTTTCACGCTTCGCGTTTTACAATTTCTTTTTAATTGAAAGGTTCGAACTTGAGAGATAGCAAGTTCCTAAACAAGGGGTGAAGGAAATAAAGATCTCTCACGGTGATGCAGTTACTAAAAAGAATATGTCCCCAGCAGGGACTCGAACCGTAAACCTTTCAGTTTGTCCGGATGCGTTCGGCTTCGTTCAGTTGCATTTGTATGGCCTACCAACTGTGCTGGTTTGTTTGTTAGTCCATGTGATGGGAACGTGGTAGAACGCATACAGAGTGTTGCTAAGACTTCACTTTTGCGTGGTTAGAATCCTAGTGTTGTCATCTGCATAGTTATTTCCCCTAAATCTTCCGCTAGCTATTACAATATAAATTCATTACCACGCCATTTTGCATGGTTATTAAAGGATCACAACGTTTGGGATTCATAGTGACCTTTCAGAGAAAGACATTACGAAAGACCAGTTGGTATTCACTCTTCATTTACTTCATTCACGATTGATGACACGATTAACAATTAAGGTGCCACCAAGAATAAGATTTTACATGATATTACAACACCTTCCAGTAAATCAAAAAGAGTGCCAAGTGATATTAAAGAGAACCTTTATCGATACAATTTAACATAAACAAAGATGGTTGGAACATTTCTTACGGTTTCGTGTAAGTTCATTCTGTAACACTTAACGCACTTATGCAAATTTTGGAGCTCTTAAAAAAGGGTTTTTAGGACATGTTGAAACATGAGCTGAGACAAGGTCATGAAGTTAACCTCAGGAGAGTTAATTGAATTTTAATCAAAACGTTTTTCGCGAACCTAATTAGCCGGCATCTTGTGGTGAAATGGAATAACATTTGTGGCAGTTGACCGCTCAACCTTGTAATCTAGTTTGGTTGTGGTAAGTAGGTTTTTCGCTGCATGCGAAAGTATGAACGGTTTGGACTGATTCAAACATGATGTTTGAGGATACTTTGCATGAAAGCTGCCTTTTTCTTTTTTTTCGGTTTGACATGCCATCCACATTTGAACAATGCTTTCGATCATGACAGAAGCATCCATGCGTAAAGTAGTAGTCTCCAACTGAATGTCGGAGGATTTTGATGGAATCACATGGCAGAGGGCCCGGGAACGAGGGGGGGGGGGGAGGAATCAGTCAGTCGTTGAGTATAAATGGGAGAGTATAGAAAATTGACTACCAATAAGGGGAAGGAGGTCATTGGAATAATAAAGAGCCTTAGGGGAATTAAGAACACCAACCGTCTCCCCCCACAGGCGATAAAATATGACAGACACTTTTGTCGTTTAAAAATTAAAAACGTCGTTTTCCAATCTATAAGAATGGCGCATGTGTCTGAGAGGGGGAGGGGAGGGAAGGGGAGGGAAGGGAAGGGAAGGGGAGGTTTTCTTTTTTTGGCTTGTAATCGACTTCGGTCAGCTGTTTGCGCCTGCAAGTTTCAAGAAATCTTATGTCAGTCAGTTCAATGCCCTAGATCCCTTTCTCTAGCAAACTCTTATTTAGATGATTTATTCTGTTTTCCATTCCAAACTTGCAGTTTGTCTTGGTTCCGTCAGTGACGTATCCCTTTTGTGTACTGAAGATTTAAAGTTTGAAAGCACTGTTCACGTCGTGAATTGACTCGGGCAAAAGAGGAGGAGAAATAATTGCTATCACCAAACTATTCCCGTCTCATCCCGGTGCATTAAGACTTTTAAAGGAAACGCATTTCTTCAATAATAGGAATTGGTTTTTAATTATCTTTTGTTTTTCTAAAGGTGCAAGGTTCAAAACCACTGTCTAATTTTGATCGAGAACGAAGAAGTGAAGAAATGATACATGTTACGAGACTTTTCCTCTTCCTAATCCTTGGCCTCCAACTAGATGAAGCATTAACTGAAGGTTAGTCATTTGTGCATCGATAATTGACAAAAAATGAATACGATTCATCACTTCTAGGCAAGGAAGATTAAGGGCCTGCGTTCTTGCCGCAGGATTTGAAATAACTAAGAGAACATCATTTCTAGAAATGATGAGATGATCCTTGCAGTGGTGGAGAAAAAAAAGAAATAGTTAAGAACTTTGAAGAAATTTGAACCAATGACCTCACACTTGTTGTGCGATGATATAAAAGTGCAACTGAGCACTGTCAGTCTGACACCGACCACTGATTGCATATGCTTTAACCTTTATTACCAGAGGAAATTTGTCGTTTGCCTCGTACGTATAGGGTATACCACTAAACTATAGCTTAAATTGCAGCTCTAAGAGCACTGATTGTTGTGAGATATCACGTTGCGAGATATCGCGTTGTGAGATATCACGTTGCGAGATATCACGTGAGATATCACGTTGTGAGATATCACGTTGTGAGATATCACGTTGTGGGATATCACGTTGTGAGATATCACGTTGTGAGATATCACGTTGTGAGATATCACGTAGACCAACACAGTACAAAGACAAAAAGTTCCAAAAGTTGATTGATTGTATACCTTCAATGTAAAGATCTTTCAATGACCTTTCGGTGGTGGAAGTTTCAGATAAATGATTAAATATTGAGCATATAATGGCATCTTGTGCCGTATGGTACTCTTGGACATTAAGAGGTTAAGTTTTTTGTCCCTAAAATTTCAATTCATACAATATTTCTTTCCCCTGAATATTTAACTGCTTACATCTTCTTTTCACGTTAGATTTGGGGGCGTTTATTTCATGTCTTCAGACCGGGATAATGAGAGTTGAGGTGAACTTGACCAAATATCCTCCTCTGATAGCTGAAAAAATGCACCTGAACGATCCCAACTGCAAAGCAACAGATATCAACGAAACCTTTGCTGTGTTCGACATACCGATAGATGGCTGCGGAACACATGGAGACGGATCGAACCCTGAGTATTTACTGTTCTCGAATGCGGTACATTGGACCCCGGAGGCCTCAGAAGGAGTCCTTCAAACTCGAATAAAGGGATATATAGCTCACATCAGCTGCCGATATCCTACACATGGCAAAGCTAGTGCGCATATCAAGCTTAAAGAAAGTGGTAAATTTTAATTTTAGTTTATTACTTGCTGATCAAAGTCTTAAAACCAAAACAGCTTACATCAACGGACATCACCGTGGTTTCGAAGGCAAGAGACGACAAGGGTTTCAGTTACCTCCACCCCCTTAGGCCAGATGCCAGTCGATCGTAAGAAACTTCACCCCCTTCTCCCTCCAATTTATAGAATTTTCCAGACAGTTCACCAGTACCCCTTCACACTTCTGGGTGAAGAGACGCGCTGCCAGATGGCGCATTAAGATCACAACACAATGAGTCGGCCTGGGTTCGAACCCAGACCTCTTCAGCTATTGCCCGGCATTCTGGTTGGTTTATTGACTGATATGAAAATTGGAATTGATTTATTCATTTGCACTGCAGAGCTAAAAGCGACGATGACCATGACCATAATAGTCGTTTAAGATCTGAGCTTTTTAACGGGCCAGTCCAGCTACTTACCGAGTTCGGCCGATCCTGATAGTGGGAAAACTGGGGAGGAGGAAATCGACAAAAATGTTCTCGAGGCAAAGGAGACGCTTATGAACAAGCGTTAGTTTACGGATGCCATCACTTGTTTCCTATTTATATCAACATTTACACATCAGCATTTATAACCCCAAGATAAGGCAATTTTCAATTGAACTTTTCCATAAATTAAAAAGATCTTTCCTTGACTCCGAAAAGCGCGGCCGTTGGCTAAGCTGAGGGGCCTGGAACAAGGATCGATATACCCAGATTTTACTTACACCTTGCGTTTGCGAAAGTCTGGCTAGGAGACGCAACATGTTTTAAGCTTAAACAAGTTGGAACATGTGAATACCAGACTAAAGATTTTCGTTTTCCAGCATCTCACAGACGCGAGTGAAACGAAAATAACCTTAATTGAGCAGATAGGTCCATTTTTGACAATTTTTAAGGCGTAAATGCAAAAATGTACCATTCAAATTTTTCAATAAGTCTTAAGGCTATTTAAGTTCGAATTGACAAACTTAAAAGCTTAGAAGACGGCTATGGCGTGTCTGCATGTTTTTAGATGGAAAGCATTTGGATTTGCGTTCATACTACTGCTCTTAAGCTCGCCTGAAGAGGGCAAGTTTAAGTGATAGATTTAAGGGTTGATAGTTTCATAGTTCCCTTTACTTGGAAAATTTACAAAATATATCATAAAAGAGGAAATGGCTGTAACTGACTCGTTCCCAGTCGTTTCTTTAGTTTTAATAGCGCTAATCTCTCGCGACCCAGCGGCCACATCATAAAA